ACCACCACCACCACGTAGTCGCAACACCGTGTCCCCCCCCTCCACTCCCCTCCCGGTAAAATGGGGAAGGATAAGAAAAAGTGGAACTTCGTGAGTTGAGATAACGACAGATTTTTAATAATACCACACGAGGAAAACAAAAGAAAGGAGAATATGACAATAAGGCAAGATACAGAATACAATGGAAACACTGATACAATGAAATCCTCACCACCACGAGCTTCACAAAAGAGACCCCTCTCCCGGCTAGCTTCCCCTTATATCCCGGGCATGACGTCAGCATGGTATCGAATATCCGGCTATGCCCAACTCCCAGCTTCTGCGAAGAATTAACCCTATCCCAGCTGGACCCAGGACAGGTTTCTCCGTGAAGTAAGTCATTCTCCACTACGCCTTTTTCAGACCTGCAAATCCCAGGAGGTCTGAAGCATGCTATGGAGAAGCCGCAGGCAGATTTGGGTCCCTCTGGTCTCCTGACCTTGAGGAGAGGAACTGCAGCTGACAGGTCCTGCTAAACACGAGAAATTCCCCGACTGCCTCTGCACGCTTTGGCAGAACTACACCCTTCAAGAACATTTCCAAGGCCTGCCTTTGTCCTCCACCACCCACTTCCTCAGCGTCTTTGGCAATTCCCAGATGGATTTTTAGGTTTAGCAGAGCAAAATCTTGCTAAGCAGCCTGTCTTACAGCACAGCTCATGCCTGCAGGTAGAAATCCTCCAGCATGCCAGGCTCTAGAAGTCCAGCCAAGGATGATGAAGATACTAGCAGTTTGGAAATGTTTTTGCAAAGGCAAATTGCAGCAGGCCCACGTGCAGTACAGCACCTCTCAAAACTCTCTTTATATCATGGCACATGGATACCAAGGCCAACAGCCAGTAGCTTACATTTAACTAGCCAATCGAGGAAACATTTTAATTGCCAACGCAATTTAATTTGTTATTTTAACTCTCTTTTAGCCTGACTCTATGTCTAAAAACACCCATTTACTAAGGAAGAAAAATTAATCAGGTAAAGCTTGTAATGCAGAAACAGGATGGCAGTCAGGGTCTGGCCCATTTCAGGTGAGAGCAGCCACATGAATGGAGGAAGACGAACCCCTTTCTACAGCAAGCCAAACCACAATGCCAACAGTCAAAACTGGCGCAAACGGAATCTCTTTTCTTCTGCACCAGATGTGTGAGCTTTGCTACCTGCTGGGCAAACCCCTTGGTGGATGAAAGCCACAAAACAGAAATTCGTGGGGAACTAAAGGCCTGGGGGTGAAAGGCCTGAAAAAAGAGGGGACGAGAGGAGAAAGCCAGAGGTGGAGACCATCTTGGGTCTTCAGAGACATGGAGTCCATTATTGCTGTGCTGGTTTTGGCTGGGATACAGTTAATTTTCGTCATGGTAGCTAGCACAGGGCTGTGTTTTGGGTTTGTGCCGAAAACAGGGTTGATAACACAGGGATGGGTTAGTTACTGCTGAGCTTACACGGAGTCAAGGCCTTTCCTGCTCCTCACCGCACCAGCGCTCAGGCTGGGGGTGCACGAGAAGTTGGGAGGGGACACTGACCAAAGGGGTATTTCTGTACCACTGTCATGCTCAGCAGATAAAGCTGGGGGAAAGCTGGCTGGGGGGCTGCTGCTCGGGGACAGGCTGGACATTGCTCGGTTGGTGGTGAGCAACTGTTTTCATTTGCGTCGCTTGTCTGTCTTCGGTTTTATTTCTCTCTCTTTGATATTTTTCCTTTTGTGGGAAAATAACAAAAGATTGATGAGGAAGGTTGTAAACATGCTCAGGTGACTTGCAGCTGGGGTGTAGAAAACCACATATATCACACTAATAATTGTTTAGCCTTGTGTGTTTGACAAGTACATCACCTGTGTTTAGGTAACACAGGCCTGCGATGGACTCAGAGGCACTCTATCAAAGGCACTTGAGATTCCTGCCCTGCCGTGGGAAAGATGAAAGCACAGCAGTAAACTGCACCTGTGCAAATCCCTGATATACAGGCGAAAGCAGCAGGTTCAGTGATCCTCTAGCAAGCACCCAGCCCCATGGTGCCTGCATCCCTGCTTGTCTGCCTCAGTGCTGCTTCGGAGATCCCCTGACTGGCAAGGTAATGAAAATAAATTTACTCTTTGCATTTCATCTGTGGTTTTGTATTTGTTCTTGCATCCTGCCTGTGCTGGCTCTCACACCTTTTCATTACAATTTACTATGATTATTATTTTATTTCAATTATTAAACTGTTTTTATCCCAACCCACAAGTTTTCTAACTTTTACCCTTCTGATTCTCTCCTCCATCCCACCAGCTGGGGTTAAACCCCAACAACTGCTTTGCCATAACCTTCTGCATACTGCCAGGAAAATCCCAGCATTTGCCAACAAGAACATCTTGTTGTGAATTGACTCACAAACACAAGCAAAGCCGAGTCAGATGTGGCTACTACTGCCCCAGCTGTCCCTCTCCTACAAGCTCCTGCAGTAGTTTCTTCTCAGAGTAGAGACAGATGAAATGAGTAGGAAGCAGCTCCCAAATGACCGCTGGTGTAATGAGGTAACTCCCGATCAACACTGGTTTCCTTTGCCGTTCTGAGCTACAAACCACAGTGATTCACATGCTGCTTCTCATGTGGCTCGCATGTCCCTGTCACAAGGGCGGCAACCCCCAGGAAAGGGGCAGGGCAGAGGAGAGGGTGGAAATCATGTTCACCATCCAACTCTAATCCATTTGTGCTGGTGACTCAACTGACACGGCCCTTTGGCATCTCAGATCCCCATCTGTGAAACAGGGATGACAAGAACACAGCTCTGCCTCAGGTGCAGGAACCCGCACGAATAAGCCGTGAGGAGGCACTCAGCTGCTTCCTACAGGAACAGAGATCTTATACATATACAAAAAAAAAAGAGGGGAGAAAATAAAGGACAAAGAAGCTATGCCAGATGGCCTTTCTTTTGCCAAAATGTCTGTGCAGAATGACCTCTTTTGGGCGTTCTCCCTTAACATTATTACAAGTACATAAGAAATTGGATGTAATCAGGTCTAAAGTCCCAGCGGAAGCATAATTGTCCAGGATATTTCAACTGATGCCTGAGTTACTTGACTACACTTACCTAACTGTAAATATTTCTTAGTCTTTGGCTTCAAAAAACCACTCTCTAGAAGCATTGCATCTACCTATGAATTCAGAAACTCAGCCAGCCCTAGAAGTTAACCATAAGAACATTTTAACATCCTGTCTTTGCTACAGAGTGTTTATTGAACTGACAGAGCGGTTAAAATCCTGCTAGAGCTGGGGTTGCTAAACAAAAGTATATTACTGTGCAGGTAATAACACATTTGCTGTTATGGATAGAACTGGGTGATGTCTTACAGACAATTTGTCCAAGAAAATTTAGATTAAAAAGTGAATCCATTCATCCAAATTGCTTGTACAAAAACCCTTCTCAAAAACTCACAAAAGTAAAAAATACCTCCATTTAACGCAGCTTCTAAAATAGAAATGAGACCATTTTAGCAGTATTTCTTAGCATTGCAAGTTAAGACTTTTGAAACAGAGTACGACAACTTTACCTACCCGCCTCTCTCACTTCGCAGACAAGTCTGATGTCAAAAGCCTGAATCAAAACTCGATGGGGAAGCTGAAAAGTAACCCAGGCAACAAACAACAACAAATGTTAAATGCATGTCCAGCTACACCCTCAGCCACGTCTACAAAGTGCTTTTTCTCACTGTCTGCTCTCAGGGATAAGAGATTATCCCTATGTTAGAGGGGAGGAACTGAGGCATGACAGAAACAGCCCACAGTCACAGGAGAGGGCAAAGCAGGGACACCCAAATCCCAGGCTGATAATGCTCACTGCAAAGCCTTCCTCCTCTTTGATCTACTCTCCTCGAATGAGTATTTCTTTTAAGTATCAGGCCTATCCAACTGCTCATTTGAAAGCCTGGCTTGGATGGTCTCTTAAGACTACTTAAAAATTCATGAACAAGAATAATAGACATCAGCACAGGGCAAAGCATCAGTTTGTTTCTAGAAACCCTGGCAGTGAGCACCTTCTCCTCACAGTTCAACAACTTGAAGGCCACATGGCAAAAGAATGATCATCCCTTTGGGATAAGGTGCAGGAAAACAGTCAGAAGACATGCAAAAGGACTGACCTTCATCTCCACACACCAGTTTCTTCACCACACAGGGGATCTCTGTGTAGCCAAAGGCCTTCAGCTGCTCCACCTGCCGAGCTGTGATGGGATGTTCCCACATGGCTGTGTTCATAGCTGGGCAGAAGAGCAGAGGTTTGCTCAGATCCCAAGCACGGATGACACAAGTCTGCAGAAGAAGCCAAGAGGTTCAGCTCTGAGATGGGTTGTCTTTCCTCATTCCTTCTCATCGCTTTGCTGCACAGAAGCGCCTTCCCAGCCTGGGTGTCATTAGAGGGCCAAAAGCCTCAATCTGTCAGTGCAGCTGGACGAACTCACAGACAGATCCACGGGGCTGCTACTAATTTGTATTCCATTCCAGCAAAGCTCACCTCTGGCAGGCAAGAAAGATGAGGGAGGCTACAAAGAGGCTAGATCCCATCCTCCTCCGACTGAGGGCCAAGCAAGCAGCCCAATCACTGGAGCAAAGCAAGCTGGAACACCATGCGTGCAGACTGCCAGAGACCGAGGGAAGCGGAGGCGGGGGTCACAGATCATATCAGCCAAAGAGAAATCCCCAGGCAACACTGCAGATAAGCCAGCTGTAGAGCTAAACGCTCAAAGTCGGCAAGTGAGTCTTTTCTAAATGGTATGCCAACTGGATCCGTAACTCCTCACAAGGGGAGCACTGCTGCTTCCAGGGTACAAACAGAGGGTAACACAAACACATCTGTGCTGTTGCAGAAGATGTGGGCAGACTACAAACCATCTAGCAGCTCCTGCCTGCTACAGGGAATCATAGCTGAGTCCTCAGGAATACAGACCTTCCAGATAACCCCGTATCACCTCATCTCCTTAAAAAGATAAATGCCGGTTGCTCCTAGTGCAACGTCCCTCAGTTTCCCCAGGCCTAGCAGCACACAAAGGCACGCAAAGGGAGCTTCCCAGGCACCAACAGACCCTGGTGCAGGGTCTCTGCTCATAAGCACTCTGTGGTCTGAGAACACTGCCCATCCTTTTTTATGCCTTGTGATTTGAACCCTTCCCAGCACAGAAAAGTCTGCTACAATCTGTTCTAACTTGCCAACCAGCACCTCCAGCACTTGTTTTCCTTTGCTGGAACTACCTCTTCCCTCCACATGGCTCTCTGAGAAGACTGGCAGGACTTTATGAAGCCATGTGCCCCTAACATCCTTCCCAAGCTCTTCCCTCTGCTACCACCATCACACCCATAGTACCAAGGGGACCCAGAAGGACAAGACATTGCTTGCTCCCCGCACAGCTCCTCCTGGCTTCTCTCTGATCTCCAATGACCTGCTCATACAAATCAGAGCTGTGCATTTTGTTCATTTATATGCACTCCCTCTTACCCAAACAGTTAAGCTAGTTGCACAGGGCTCCCCAGCCAGAGCTGACGTGCTGCCCTCCGCTTCTAGCTCTAGGTTCCTTGCAATACTGAAGGGTGATGCACTACCGCAACATTTGCAGATCTGCAGCTTCCTGGCAGACCTTTTGGGTGGTTAATGCCTCTCATGTCTCCTAATGAAGACCTAACGCCTGGACACAAAGCATTCAGCCCTGATAAAGTCCCCCACCACCCAACAGAAAAGCACACTCTCTTTTAATACACTTTCTGATCAGCACCTTTAATACCAGAAGAACAAGCCTGAACAAGCAAAATCCCCTGTAGGTGAAACTGGAAGGTAAGTAAGCGTGAGCATGTCTGAATTTCTGTGCTATGCAGTTAGGTGAGGGAGGAGGTGAGGCAGCAGGAAGTAAACCATTTTATCTGATCTCACAGGTGTCTTTCCAGATTGCATCTAAAAAATGCAGAGAAGAACTCAAAAGGGAGTGCAAGTCTGTATGCACACGCATGTGTGTGTACACGCATGACGGAGAGAGGGCGGAGGCCAAAAGCAAGAAATACCACCCATCAGAAAAAGCGGAAAAGGCACAAAGAAGGGACTGGGAAATAATGGAAGAGACCAACAGAGCTGAGGAGTGGAAAGGGATGTAGGTCAGGGAAGGAAAGAACAACTGTTTGAGAAGGGATAGGGGAACCATACTGGAGGAAGAGAGAGACAAGCATATGAAGCGGGAGCAGAACATGCAAATCTCAGCTGCTCTCAATGATGGAGAAGCACAAGAGTTCCCAGGAAAAAAAGGGCAGACAGTCTGATGCTAGGAGGTGAGAGAACTCTCTGGCAGAGCTCCGGTTACTCACCAGCAGGTTGTCACAGATGCCGTTTGCGAGCTTTGCCAGTGTGTTTGCATCAAGAGGTGCCACCACCATCAGGTCAGCCCACCGTCTGAGCTCGATGTGCAGGACTGGGTCCGAGCGACCTTTCCACAGCTGTGGGCGAAACAAGACGCAGATTGCCAAACTCTCCCAATGAGCGCTGTGAACAACAGGCACTTTATCAATCCCACATTAGTAAGCACCATGTAAACTTCAGGGGAAAGAATTACTCTTGCATCAGTGTGGGAAACCCGGGACTGCAGCCACAGTGCTCACATTTCTGCTTTCCCCCCTCTTCCAGTGAAGGCCACGTTGCAGCCATGTTTGGGAAGCACAGTTAACAGATGGCACCAATGTGCCTGGTGCTCTGCGAATGGGTCTCCCTTCCCCACAACAACCACAGAATTCGACTCACAGGAAAGAGCTTTCCCTATCCACTTCCCATTCACATCATCCCTCAGCTTCAGACTCATTCATAAGAGGCAGCACAACTGAGCAGAGAAAAGAGCTCCATCCTGTCAGCCAGCTGAAGCCAGGCAGGACCAAACCACGGGTCATGGTTCCTGGGGGATTTGTAAGCTTGACTTTTATTTGAAATGAAGCTGTCCAGTGGCTTTTAACGTAATACAGACTCTTAACTGCACAAGTCACTTTTCAGTCAGGGTGCACACCCCTCCAATTACTCACAGCAGCAAAGCAAACCCTTGCAATTACAGTAGGGAACGGTTCTGTTGGCCTTCTCTAGGATGGACAAGGCACTTCCCTCCTCTCTCAGCTCTTAAGCAAATATTTCCCTTTTCACTAACACCCCGAGTTGCTCAGGGGAGTTCTGGTCTTTTCTTAAGAGCGCAGTTACCTGGGAAAGTGTCAAGGGAAGCAGCAACCAGCATCAGGTGCCTAATCCCCAGAGGACACACACAGCCACAGACCAGTAAGAGGTGCATCAGGGCCACAAACTGTTCCTTCTCTGAGTCACTGGAAACCACAACAAAAAGACAGCATCCGGAGAGCTGGTGCTTCCTGACACCTTTCCCAGCTCCTCCACTCTCTTCTGTTTTTTTTTTTTTTCTAGAAGCACTGAAAATTGTAGTTTTATTTTCAGAATAAAATCTCTCACAAACAGACACTTAGCAGGCTTACTTCCCACCCTTCCATCAGAGCAGTGTGTTATAAGGGCTCCACGCCTGCTTTCCAGCGTGCCAGCAGACCTCAAAGTCTGACCTGCGCCTCTCCTATCACGCCACCGAGGGCCCCTCAGAAATAACTGCCTGGAGCTGTAGCCCCCTAGGACCCAGATCTCCACCCAGACCTGCCAGAAAGCTTCCTGGCCCTTGCCATTAGCATGCCTCTCTCCACATAAAAGTGATGCTCAGGCCTGAGCATTGGCAAGAGTACTGGTGAAGAGCAGATCACCCTGTACTCAGATCGGTACTGCAAAGGAGGGATAAAATGTACAGAAAAACAAATGCTGATGGTTATACAGTGAACCTCTTCATACTCAGGGACTCTCACAGCATGTCAGCAAAGCTGCGCTCAAGAGAAGCGGCCATTTTATGAGGTCCAGAGATGTTCACAGGCCTGACAACTGAGCTGTCCCTTATTGGAATAGTTCTATCTGTGTGCACAAGCACATATGCAGACACCTCTGAGACAAACAGGAGAACCTTGCTAACTTCTAGCCACACTATCACACCAGTGCACAACACCTCTGGGTACTGGTCCTCCTCCGAACCGCTACACCAGGGTGGCTCTAGCACCAGAAGGTCATGCACTCAGACACCAGGCTGTTTTAAAGCAGCGTGGGGAGTTTTGTGAATGTCGGCGAAGTCTGTAGGTTCAGAATCAGAGCATTAAGCAGAATTCAGCTGTTGCCTTCATGACAAGTATGACTCATGACAAGCATCAAACACTCTCACCACGACTCTGCAGTGGCTTTCTTGACATTTCCTGATACCCCTCTCAGAGCTGCAGATAGCGGCTGAGCCCAGGGTGGCGAGAGCCAACTGCTACCCTCCTTGCCTGCTGCAGGTCTGCTAGGGCGGTACGAAATCCTCCAGTACAGTCAGGGAGCATTTCTTCTGTTCCTCATTTACAGCATGGTTGGAACCACATTCTTTGAAAACCATATCCCAAAGTGTGCATTACTAGAACAAAGTAGTCTTGGCCCAGGATAAAAAAAAATAAAATGTGATCCCTTGCAAAGAAACTTGGAGGAACACTTCTATTTACTGTTCAGCACTTGAACAACTAAGTGAATCTCCCAGGGAGCCTGCTTTTTTTATGAAGCATGACCCATTGGCCTTCTGGAAGCAGAAGACACGAATGCATGACAGCACCACTTGAACTACAAAACGTGTGGCTAGTGGGGACGGGACAGAAGCCGTTGCAGTCTTCAAAGGAGGAACAACTCACCTGCCACTCATCTTCATCACTGTAGAGGATGACAGGAATCTCCTGGGCATTGTAGAAATGCTTTGCTCTCTCAGTGGTGACCACCTTCACTTCAAGCTAATCAGAAAAGAAAGAGAAAGACCAATGGTTAGACTTGAGGACAGTCTTGTAAACCTGGGTAGAGGAGGAGGGCTTGAGCAGCAGAGACTTTGAAAGCTGCATGGATTCTCAGAGGACTTTTCCCTACCGCACACATGTGCATAACTGCAGCTATTCACAGCTGAAAGACCATGCTGCTGTGGGTGTCCACGGGAGCCAAACACTCATTTCATGCCACCCCAAAACAGGCAGGTGACTAGTCATTGCCTGCCAAACACGTTCACGTGGCCAGTTCACAGCGGGGACAGCAGGGAGGACAGAGCAGATCAGAACAAGGTGCAGTTCTGCACAGAACTTCAAAGGGACACTAAGAAGCAGCAAGCCAAATCTCAGTGAAAGATGCCCTTTAATCTCAAAATGTGTCTGCTGAAGGGAGCAGGAGAGCATCTCGCCTCAGTGGACGCCCTTAACTGCAGCACAGAGGGCTGCCGAGGTGTGGCATGCCTGGACGGCACTTGCAGGATCACTCTTCCCACACTCGGAGCCAAGAGGAAGGTCTGTGCCAAGAGAAAGCCCAGTGCTGAGCGATCAGAAAAACTGCTGAGGAACAAGCAGGTTAGCCGGGGCTCAGCACCACCACCGCAAGGCAAACCCACCTCTGCTGCACAAGGCTTCCCCCGAAAGGCTGGCTTTGGAAGACAGAGTACAACTTCTTGGTCCTGTGTACCACATTGTGCACCTCTCTGGATCCTTCTGCCCCTGCCTTTCTCTCTCTCAGTCTCCTGGTGATGAAGGTGGGGAGGTAGCCCCACACTACTGGACCTTACTTTTTAAAACCACTTTAATCAGGCTTGCTCCAGCCAGGGGTAACAAAACCAGAAGCAAGTCAGAGTTGTGACTTCCAGCTATCCTCCCTATCAAGGCCAGATGCTGGAAAGAGGCAAACCTGTGCGTGGATATGTTCATAGCACGAGGCTTCTGTGCAGCCAAAACAGCAGCTTCCCCAACAGACAGAGAGACTGGGTGAAAGCATACAAAGGTTCTCTCTGAAAGCTTAGATAAACCTGCCTGCCATGTTGAAAGCCAGTGGGACCTTCAGTTACATAGTATATATGGGGGAAACCCTACCAGGTCCCTTGGATGTTTATTTGACATGCAGCCTTAGGAGATCCTTTCGTTTCCTCCCCCAGAAATCTTCACAAGTGGAAAAGGGGGGTTTTCCCTTGTTTCCACACATCACATGACCTGCTCAAAGCTGTAGCTCTGCCAAACGTCGCACACAGCTGCCCGCCAAAGGCCGTGAACCAGAGGTGCTCTGCACACACTGGGATCGGCTGCAAAGCAGAGCCAGTGTCGGAGCGGCTCTGCGTGCACTGAGCATCCATGCAGCTGTATTTCCATCTGCAACTCCTCCCAAGGATGTACCTTGAAACCAGTCAACAGAGGGGCCAACACATGGAGGGAGTGCTCTAAAGACTGGTAATGTGGAAAATGCACCTCAGGCCACCAACTGCAGTGAAAAATAACTCTTTTCCTTGTTACAGGCCACTTTCAACCACTGTCTGCTCCCTCTGCAACCCACTGTGCGGTTCTCAGCCCAACGGAGATGGGGAGAAACCAGCCTCACCAACAGCTCCTTCCTGCTAGAAAACTGTGGCCTGAGGTACAGAGATGATGAAGCACTTGGTCTGCACACTCTTGCTAAAACAGCCTGATGAAAACCTCCAAGGAGCTATCTTCAACAGCAGCGGCTGAAGTGACAAAACACGTTAACCTATCTTCCCAACACTATCTATTCAACTGGGAATGGAGCAGTGCTGATTATCTGCACCCTGCACGGCTGGAAGAACAGCTGGGAGCAGTGGAAAATCTCAGCTTTAGCATATCATGGTCTTTGGTAAATTTTCCTGTTTCATGAAGAAAAAGTAATGGGAAATTATAGCTGCACATCACACCAGTGTTTGGTTCTTTGCCTCTTCTAAATGTCTGCTCTTTTTCATGTGACCCTAACTTGGAATCACAGCTGCATTTCTAGAGCTTCTGAGTGTGAAGATCATATTCACGGCAATCAACAGTGTTGTTTCCATACTAACCTCACAGGAAGCTGTGTGGAGCCAAGCAGCGACACCCGCAAAGGTGCCAACACCGCTCTCTGCTACGCCATGGGCTTTGATGAGGTGTTAACCTCGCAGTCTGCAAGATACTATTTATTTGGTGATTTGAAAGAGCAATGTGCAGTTTAACGGGGCACAGCTGCTCTCTAAAAAATGGAACCAGGAGGCCAGGTCTGCACTAAAACTTTTCA